ACTTCACTGGCAGTCCAGTGGTTAAGACTCTGAGCTTCCCCTGCAAGGAGTGTAGGTTCAATCCCTAGGTGGGGAACTAAGATCTCACAAGCCATTCGGAATGATCAAAATATTTTTTTAATCTGTCCAAAATCTAACCATTTCTCCCCACTGTCTAAGCCATCCTACCTGGTCTCCCCATTTCCACCCTTGACCTTAAAGTCTTTTGTTCCCAAAATAGCCAGGGATTTTTTTCTAAAACTGAGTCAGATTATCTCATCCCTTGCTTAATCTCATCCAAAGTAAAACACAGTCTTTACTTTGCCAAAATGTTTTACGTGATATGGCATGTTAAACATTTCCCCTTCAACATCATTTCTTACCACCCTCCCCCTATTCACTCAATTCCATGTGGCCTCCCTGCTGTTCCCTGCCTTGAGGAGAATCTCTCCTCAAGGCCTTTGCAGTCGCCTGAATATCTTTTCCCAGATTTTTAAGTATCTACTCAACGTCACCTCATCATGGGGCTTTCCCCCATCACTCCGGTAACTGAGCACATGTGTGAGGGCACACACACATGTAGGCATTAAGCTCTTATTATCCTCTTACCCTGGTTTATTTTTCTTACCACCATCCAACCTACATTTATTTGTTTATATTCATTTGCTGCCTTTGGTGGGGTCAACAAACCACCAGCATCAATATCACCCTGGTGCTTGTTAGAAATGCAGAACCAGGCTTCCCTGATGGCTCAGAAGGTAAAGAATCTGCCTGCAATGCAGAAGACACAAAAGACGCAGGTTCAATCCCTGAATCAGGAAGATTCCCCTGGAGGATGAAATGACAAGCCACTCCAATATTCTTGCCTGAAAAATCCCCTGGACGGAGGAGCCTGGCAGGCTACAGTCCATGGGGTCACAAAGAGTCAGATACGACTGAGCGAATAAACACAGCACATAAGCCTTATCCCAGACCTACCGTATCAGAAGCTGCAACAGGATCTTCAAGTGATTCGAATGCCCAGTAAAATCTGGAAAGCACTGGGCTACTTCCTTATTGCCGTGAGAATGGGAGTTTGATTTCATTCATTACTGTAACCTCAGAAAGCTGAGGCACTCCAGATACACTGAATGAATGAATGAACTGTTGCACTTGTTTCAAATGGGACTCCAAGCTGATGATGTGCAGAAGGTTGGAGGGGGCAAAAAAGACCTCCTAGGCCAAAATTACCCCCCATGTATTGCACTCAATTAGAGATCCCCTGGTATCAGCAAACCCTTCTTTCAAAATGCAAATACATTCCCTGAATAAAGCAGTCATTCACCACTTGCTGTGGGTTACTTAAATGAGATAATTATTCTAACATTTAACAGAATCAGCCAAACTGAGGGAACAGGAGTGAAAGAATGCTGAAACTTCAGTAAGTGCCTAGGCTGTGCTGCACATTGTAACAGGCCAGAGGGAAACAGAGATAAATCAGGAACTTATAAGCTGGTGGGAGAAGCAGAGCACCCTTCAGGGGAGGGGCAGGAGGGTGGAATGCCTGTGAGGGGGACTTGGGAAGGCTCCAGGGCAGGGAGAGAGTCCAGGCTATTCCTCCCTATAGCATCCTGTGCTCTGGTCACAAAGAACCGTTCTCCTCTGCCTGAAATGCCATCATCAACTCTGTCAACATCTACTCATTCTCCAAAGCTCCCAGTCTTTCAGAATTAACTGTGCCTTCATTTCATTAGCTCTGACCACACCGTATCACAGTTCAAGGACCCATATCACCCTGTTCAAGAGGGGCTTCTACAAACTGTATTACCCAGATTCATGTCTGTATCCCCTGCCCCAATGTGGTACCTGGACAGAGTGAATATTCAGTCGGTTTCTGTTGCTTTATAAGAACAGTTGGCATTCACTGAGCATTTACTGTGTACCAAACACTATTTTAAATACTTCAGCTCTATTAACTCATTGAATCTTCACAACAACCCAGTGAGATTGGAGCTATTATTAGCCCCATTTTACAGACAAGAGAACTGAGGCCCAGAGAAGCCAGGTAAAGGAATGACTCGGTACCTGCACAAAAAGACACACAGGAAATATTTACTAACATCAGTTCAATGGAAGATCAGCAGTTAAGAAGATCGGGGAGTCAAATTCGAACTTTACCAATCTTCCCAGAGCACTGGAGAGCAAAAGAGAATGGGGAGGTGTCAGAGGTCGCTGCTATAAAGAACCATCTTTCCCACACCAGCCTCCCACAGGCAAAGCAGAAGAAACTGCCTGGGAGCAAGGGTTCCCTGGGGGCGGAAGTTAGGAGAGGAAGTCGGAGAGAAGACACTCTGGAGTTTCTTCAGTTTGGAAGACAGTACCCCAATTCCTCAGGAATATTAAAGCAAAAGACTTCGGGGCAGAGTGGGTGGAGGTGGGCTGGAACACACTGCAGGGACTCCAGGACACAAAGGGCCTGTAGCGTTGTCCAGAAACAGATCTATTTTTACCCACTTGTCAGGCAAGACAAAGGTCTGGCTTAGCCTTGCTTAGAAACAAGGTGAGCAACCATGCAAATAGCACGACTGCAGCGAGCTAGCACCCTCAGGAGGATCCAAGCGTCATGGGTTTGGCTTCTCAGGCCACTCGGTCTCAGAGCCACTCCGCAGTCAGTGGCAGCACCAAACCACAGCTCCAACTCAGAAAAAGTCCCGAACCAGGGAGTCTGTGGAAAGCGGAAGGTCTCAGGAAACTGTCACGGGTTCTCCTGCCTCCCTCCAGACACTACGTCCTCCACAAATCCCACGGGACTCCCTGCCTTGGGTCCAAGACACACTCACCCCGCAGGAAAGCTCCTCAGGTAGAAATCAGAAAACAAATGAACGCAAGCAGGAGGCAAAACAGGGAGCCCAGTGCTTAACTCGTCCAGGGAGAGAGAAACAAGTCATGACGTTGAATGAGCGGCAAACACACAGAAAACCCTGGAGCCCGGCGGTAGACTTTGGATCCACAGGTGAGCTGCACCACGAGGAATCGGTCATCAAGGGTGTCAGCAGAAAGGACACCCAGAAAACACAGATGAAACGACAAGTCACTCCAGTGAGAAAAGACAGATAACGATGGGGAACAACATCAACTTCACTGATTTTTGTTGTTGTTGTTTGGTCGCTAAGTCCTGTCTGACTCTTTTTGGGACCCCATGGACTGTAGCCCACCAGGCTTCTCTGTCCATGGGATTTCCCAGGCAAGAATACTGGAGTGAGTTGCCACTTCCTTCTCCAGGGGATCTTCCCAATACCAGGATCAAACTCATGTCTCCTGCACTGGCAGGATTCTTTACCACTGAACCACCTGGGAAGCCCTTACTGATTTTTACCATCATTTAAATCAAAGCATCTTTCCTAGTGATCCCCAGGATCACCACACTTCGAGAATAAAGGAAAAAGATTCCCAGGCTAAAGCCAAAAGATACAGACCCGAAGTTCCCTAAGTCAGGCTCTGGCAGTCTGAAAGAATAGCCAAGAAAAGTCAGAGGTTCAGAAGGGGCAATGTACAAAGGTCAGAGGAGAGATCAGAAATTCCAAACTGACCAAAGGAAATCATCTGACGTATCAGGGCAAACAGGATCAATACATAAAAGTCTAAATTTCAAATACTACAAATTGGTTGAACAGTTTTTGATATCTGCACTCTAATGAAGAATATCCAAAAGTTGGCATATCATAAACTGTTTACAAAACTATTAAAAATTTGATTCATTTAAAATAAAAACTCAAAGCATGTTTCTGATCCAATAAATACTAAGGTATTTATATGTGTCTGACTCAGAACTTACCTTTTAATCAGTACACCAAATACACATCATTGAAAACTGCAAGAGGCGTAAAAACTGGGGGCTGAAGTTCTTCAGAAGCTTTTTCCAGGTCTTGGGGCTTACAGCCAAAGATTACTGAACTTTCTAACCACTATAATCACAACAGACAATTCCTGGACAGCAGCTAGCACACAGAGGCACCTCATGTCAGTGACCCTTTAAGTGAATCAAAGGAAAATGGGCTTTGAATTAAGCTATTGTAGACAGGAGATATTTTTAACCTGAAACCTAAAACAGTGTGAGCTCCTTCATAATAAGGAGATTTAATTTAACCTGGGGGATGGGGCACACTGGGGGATAAAAACAGTGCTAAAACCCACAGAACTACAGGATCATATTGGCTGAAACGAAGGCTATATTCCTTGATGAATGAAATGTACCAAGAGCCCAGAATTTTATCACAAAAGCCTGCCCTTTACAAGTGCCATAGTAATCATTCTTATTTCAAAGGCAACTGCTGACAGCAGAGTAAGTTTTGAAGAACATTAACAGAATAATCTCCCCTAAACAGTTACAACAGATTTTTCAAATCAGTCCAAGAAATTACAGAAATCTATTTCCCGAGGATTCTTGGGAGTCAAAGAGTCAAGTGTGGTGAGTTTTAACTAACGTTCCTGCAAACAGTGAATTATATACTCGAACCCTTTGCAAGATGAAATTATTTTAGGTACCTCTATCCCCAAAGTAAAGGAGTCTCCTGTCAAAATAGAGAGGAAAACGCCGACGTGGGAATTGCCTAAAACTCTCTGGGCCATTCCGTGCAGTCAAAACACAGTGGCCACCCATCAGGGAGCCCAAATCATAGTGGACGTCCCCACCCTGAAATGTGTCCTACTAAAACACATCCCTTTTCAGGTGTCCTAAACACAGCGTGTCTTTATCTAAATGAAGCGTGCCTATGGGACCACTAGGAAGGATCTGCAACTTGTCCAGAAGGAAGACGCGAATGCACTTCTTTTTACTTCCCCGCCCAACGGTGCCTGCCTTCCCGGGAGACAGATTTCTGACAGTTCGCCTGCTGTTGCAGCAGCAAAGGGCGGGGAAAATCCTAGCGCCGGTGCTGCAAAGATCTCCCCATCCACCGCCACCCGATCAGGTACCGGCCTGGATGGGCCGTCCCGCTCCTCCAGAAACCTCCGCGGGCGCAAAGCAGCCGCCAAGTGCTTACCCGGGTCGGCCAGGCAGTGCTGGGGGAGGGCCGCCAGCAGCAGGAGTCCCAGCAGCAGCGGCGGCGCATCCTGGGACGCGGCACGCGAGCCCCTCACGCCCGGGAAGCGCGCAGCTCTCCCGGCGGCCCGGTTGAGCCCGTGCGCCCGGAGCCGGCCCCTGCGACCCCGCGCCGCCGGCCCACCTTCCCTCGGGCCCTGGGGCTTCGCCTCCTGCCGAGCCATGAGGACGCTTCACACATCCAGGCCGCTGCCTCGCTCCGCACCGCTCCGGGGAGCCCAGCCTTTGACACCCCGGTCCTCACCGGGCATCTCCGGCCCGGGCGCCGGAGGGCGGGGGCGCCGGGAGGCGGGGGCGCCGGGAGGCGCGACTCGCTAGCTCGTGCTGCCGTGCCCGGAGCGGGCTCCGCGGAGCCGCGGCTTCACCCCTGCAGCGACCCGGGCCGCATGGAGCCGTGGCGGGAGCGGGCCGGGGTTCCCACGGCGCCTGTCTCCGCGCGCCGGCGCGCCCCGGGCAACGAGGATGGAACGGGCGCCGCCCGGAGCCCCCACCCCCGGGAGGGCTTCCGCAGACTGAGTGGGTGAGGCTGCGAGCCGCGGGGGCCGGCGGGTGCTGGGCGCGCTCGGGACCCTCCCTCCGGCTGCTGCCTCTCCGCCCTGCTCTCCTCGCTCGCTTGCTGGGGCTCGGGCTCGGGCTCCAGCTCCGGCTCCGGCTCCGGCTCCCGGGCCGAGAGTGTTACTGCAGCTCAGAGCGGCGCCTCATTGACAAAGAAAGCACGTAGCCACAAGAGCGGGCGAGGGAGGCGAGGCAGGCGCGCGCGCGCGCATCCCCGCGCGGAGCCACCGCGCGCCCCCCGCACTCGCGCTCCCCGCCGGGCTCCGGGCTGGGGAGGAGGACCCCTCGCGGCAGTTCAGGCACCGCGGATGTCCGCACTAGGGCGGGGCGGGGGGTTCTTTTCTTCGCTATCCCTCGGACAGAGGAGGGGACAACCACACCGGCCCGAAAAGGGGGTGGGGGTGTAAATACTTGTGGTTAACGTGAAGAGGTCAGAAAGCTCTTCAGCCTGGGTTTTGAAAAGTCCTTTAGAAGGGGGCGCGCTTTGTGCTGTTTGTTCACTACTTCTCCAAGGGGCCCTGGAACATCCGTATGCCTGTTTCCCTGCCGAGGAACTGAAGAGCCCGTGGCCTAGTTGCAACACGCTGGGTTAAAACGCATCACAAATGTTTATAGCAGCCACACTATGTGCAAAGCCATGCGCATTGGAAAGACCAGGGGAAAGTCTCTTCCTAAAAGTCCCTTCCTGAAAATAGGACAATTAGACAGTCAGTTACGGTGCGAGACACCGGAGATCTAAGTGGTGAGCAGAAACACAGTCCCTGATGTGAAGAAGTTCCACCCCTTCATTCAACGGTTCTTCCTGACTGCCTGCTATGTGTCAGGCACTGTTCTAGACACTGAGGACAACAGCCGCCAGCAAACTGCCTGCCCTCTTAGAGCTGACATTCTAGTGGAAGTACACTGGCAATAAACAAGTAGTAGGCAAGATGTCAGCCTGTGAGGGGGAGGGAGGCCTCACCAAGACGGTGACCTCTGAGCAAAGATCTGAAGGAGGTGCGGGAATAAGCTTGGCAAGAAGAGCATTACAGGAACAGGGGGCAGTTCAGTTCGGTTCAGCCCCTCAGTCATGCCCGACTCTTTCCAATCCCATGGACGGCAGCACTGCCAGGCCTCCCTGTCCATCACCAACTCCCAGAGCCTGCTCAAACTCATGTCCATCGAGTTGGTGATGCCATCCAACCATCTCATCCTCTGTCGTCCCCTTCTCCTCCTGCCTTCAATCTTTCCCAGCATCAGGGTCTTTTCAAATGAGTCAATTCTTTGCATCAGGTGGCCAAAGTACTGAAGTTTCGGCTTCAGCATCAGTCCTTCTAATGAATATTCAGGACTGATTTCCTTTAGGATTGACTGGCTTGATCTCCTTGCAGTCCAAGGGACTCTCAAGAGTCTTCTCCAGCACCCCAGTTCAAAAACATCAATTCTTCGGCACTCAGCTTTCTGTATAGTCCAACTCTCACATCCATACATGACTACTGGTATAACCATAGCTTTGACTAGATGGACCTTTGTTTGGCAAAGTAATGTCTCTGCTTTTTAATATGCTGTCTAGGTTGGTCATAGCTTTACTTCCAAGGAGCAAGTGTCTTTTAATTTCATGGCTATAGTCACCATCTGCAGTGATTTTGGAGACCAAGAAAACAAAGTCTCTCACTGTTTCCATTGTTTCCCCATCTATTTGCCATGAAGTGATGGGACTGGATGCCATGATCTTAGTTTTCTAAATGTTGAGTTTTAAGCCAGCTTTTTCACTCTCCTCTTTCACTTTCATCATGAGGCTCTTTAGTTCTTCTCTTTCTGCCATAAAGATGGTCTCATCCACATATCTGAGGTTGTTGATATTTCTCCCGGCAATCTAGATTCCAGCTTGTGCTTCATCCAGCCCCGTGTTTTGCATGATATACTCTGCATATAAGTTAAATAAGCAGGGTGACAATATACAGCTTTGACATACTTCTTTCCCGATTTGGAACCAGTCTGTTGTTCCATGTGCAGTTCTGTTGCTTCTTGACCTGCATACAGATTTCTCAGGAGGCAGGTCAGATGGTTTGGTATTCCCATCTCTTTAAGAATTTTCCACAGGTTGTTGTGATCCACACAAAGATTTTGGCAAGGGTGAAAATCCAGGGGCAACAAGGGGGAAAACCAGGGGCAGTGCCAGCTGGGGGAACTCAAGGCCTAGAAAGTGTTAACTCTCACTTACTGTGCATTTGTAGGATAAAAATCACATCATATTTCATCAGAGACTCACATTTTTTTACATATTATCTTTTCAGAAGTTGGATACATCTTATCATGCACCTAAGATATGCTGAAATACAGTAATACCTTCTTGGTATTATTATTATTTAAGGTTGCTTTTCAATTAAATCAGTTCAGTTTTTTTTTTAAGTTGCAGTCTAATTGAGGCAATAAAGGGCTTCCCAGGTGGCAGTGGTAAAGAATCTGCCTGTCAATGTAGGATACACAAGACATAGGTTGGATCCCTGGATCAGGAAGATCCAATGGAGTAGGAAATGGCAACCCACCCCAATATTCTTGCCTGGGAAATTCCATGGACAGAGAAAGCTGGCTGTACAGTCCATGGGGTCACGAAGGGTCGGACACAACTAAGTAACTGAGCATTTCATTCCATGAGGCAATAAAACAACTCCAAAAATCAATTTGAGCCACTAATGAGAAAGCCATGATTCAGACAACACAAGATAGGAGGCATAGTGCTGGCCACAAGGGGTGATCCCAGGGATAGGAGGTGGGGGAGATGGTGCAGGCAGTCCAGGCAGAGTTGGACAGAAAGATGCCAAGGTTTGGAGCAGCAGAGGTGTTGAGAAGCAGGGAGCTTGGAGGGAAAAGAGAGAAAAGAGAAAAGAGAGCAAAGTTGGGAAGTAGAAATATACATACGTGGAGCCCTGGGGCCACTTATTTGATGCAAAGAACTCTAATCGGGAGAAGTGGGAGGTAGAGGGGGAAAGGAATATGCAGACCAATTAGTGGAAGACTTCAGACACATTTGGGCTTTTCCCCAAAGAGAGAGGGAGGAAAGGGGGGAGTCACTCACAGAAGCACAGGTCATGTGCCAGGCTCTCAGTGAGCAGCTAAGGACACAAAAACCAGTGTGATGGTGAAAGTAAAAGTTGCTCAGTTGTGTCTGACTCTTTGCGACCCCATGGACTGTAGTCCATGGAATTCTCCAAGCCAGAATACTGGAGTGGGTAGCTTAGCCCTTCTCCATGGGATCTTCCCAACCCAGGGATCAAACCCAGGTCTACCCGCATTGCAGGCGGATTCTTTACCAGGTGAGCCACAAGGGAAGCCCAAGAATACTGGAGTGGGTAGCCTGTCCCTTCTCCAGGGGATCTTCCTGACCCAGGAGTCGAAATGGGGTCTCCTGCATTGCAGTCAAATTCTTTACCAACTGAGCTATGGGGGGAAATATAAACCCTTTAGTAGTCATAATCTCAGCTGCTCTACCCCCAACCCCTTACTGTAAACTGAGGAAGCTTAAGGGGCTGACTGAATTCACATGGAAAGGTACAAAATGTTGTTGGCCTGAGACAGAAAAGATCCAGAAAGGGAGAGGCTGTGAGACAAGAAAGGCAAGACCCAACCAAAGCTGGTTCTCCACAAGCATTGAGAGACAGTGGGGAGATTTGGGGAACAGAGATTTGGGTTGAGAGATAGCAAAGTATATTTTCTGTGTTGTACATGGAATTTTCCTTTCAACAATATTTACCAGAGTTGGACAAGGTACCAATTACTTGGCAGTGGTTTTGGTGGTTAGATTGGTGTTTTATTGAATTTTTCTCCCTGATGATGCTGGCCTTGAGAGCAGACACAATCCTGTCCTCCAGAAGCTCACAGTTAAGGCTCTTCGCTGGCAATCCAGGGGTTAAGACTCTGAGCTTTCACTACAGGAGCACAAGTTCCATTCCTGGGTGGGGAACTAAGAACCTGCATGCCAAAAACAACAACAATAACAACAAGAAAACCCCACGGTCTAGAGTCTAGTGGGAGAGGACAACACATAAAGCATTAGCTTCAGAGAGATGCAGCAAGTGTGCGCTAGAGGCATGTATGCACAACACCCGTGATGTGGGCATGGGGGGACGGCTGGCTATTTCTGCCTGGAGGAAGAGGAGAGAGAGGAGAGGTGAAAAAAGGGAAAGGTGGCATTTGCCAGCACCACAAAAGGCAACCTAGAAAGGCAGGAGGGTCTGCAGTATTTTGCAAGGGAGGGTAAAGCATCTACTGAGGGTGGCACAGAAGGGACCTCGGGAGATCCTGCTTCGAGGCAGGAGACCTAAGCTGGAGGCAGATGTAGGGAGGCTGGGTTTGTACCTTTTCCTCACCCAGTAGGAACAACTCTAGAAAGGCTTGCCGCTGGCACAGGAAGGTTGATGAGATCCCTGTCCTGGATTGAGCGTACAGAATGACCCTTGACTTCTTAGATTTAAATTCCGCTCTAGAACTTCTTTGGTGGCACAATGGATACGAATCCACCTGCCAATGCAGGGGACAGAGTCTGATTCCTGGTCTGGGAAGATTCCACATGCCATGGAGCAAGTCAGCCCACGTGCCACAGCTCCTGGGCCCGCATTGTTGAGCCTGT